CAGGGCTGTACGTTAACTTTTTTTTCACATAGCACTGGTGCTACAGAGGTTGAAAGTTTTGTAGCACAGGCCAAAAAGTTGTAGCACAAGTATAAAACGTCTGTTATCATGTCTGAAAACAAAGTAATGGAGTTCATCACTTAAACAGGCACTGATGTTCCATACAGAGCACAAAAAATACAAAAAATTGTTTTTAGACAAAGTTTTCTTAATTTGATAAAAATGGAAGAGTGCAGAAACATAACACCTCTTACACCTTAACAAAATATAAAATGTTCAAACAACCCGCAAAATAAAGATGCAAAACTTGGGGCCATCTTGGAACCCATGCTGACTCCTGAGATCTGCAGATAGTAATCTGACCCAAAGAAAAAATAATTATGTGAAAGCACCAATTTTGCCAAGTCACTCAAACATACAGTGCTTGGAACCTGACAAGGACGTTGATCAAGAAAAAATGTTATTGCCTCTTAAAATCCATATGGTCTAATCAGAGGTGTAGTGAGGGTGCCATTAATTTCTTGTTTGGACCGGATAGAAATATAAATGTAACTGTAATATAAAATAGTCTATCCATCATAATAATGTGTTGATGAATTTTACTTTAAAATGTACAAAAGTTTCTTCTGGGGTTTCTTTGTCAGGAAGACTCGTGTAGATATACACAGAGACACTGAAGATTTTAAATAATAAAACCTGAAACCCTGCTTGACATACTTGAGTTTGTCCAGTTTGCAGTTTGGATCCTCAAATAAATAAGGCATTAGATCTCTCACGCAGACAACAGTGGTGCAACACTGCTCCTGAAATATTATGTTCACAAATTAGTGAAAGAAAGAATATAAAGATAAGATTTAAAAACAAAAATCTTTGTATTCTAGTGTTTATACAAAATTTATTATTTTTGTCAGGACCACTATCGTCAAAGATGATTGACAATTAGCATACAGTTTGGATTGGCCGTATTCCCATAGGTTGATGGGGATCAGCTGAGAGTCAGCTGATGCAAGCTTGACTAACGTGACCTGCCAGAACTAACGCTATGCTAGATATTTCAATTCCATTTTATTGTTTTTAAACAAATTCAAGATAGATTTAAACCTTCAGTGTTCTTTTTTGCAACCATACTTTGCAAAAATGTCACTGCAGACCACAAAACCAGAGGGAGATGCATAATTGCTACTATACAGATCCATTCAGAATCACTAAACACATCAAAATACAAATGAAAAGTAAAAACATTCTTAATGTGTGGAAACTCAGCGATCTGAAGGTGACTTGACGTTATCATCAGTGAACAGTTCCTCTGTCAGAACAAGCGATCATGTCTGTGTTTGGTGCGTCTGATGCCCATATGTACATAAACCAATATAAATCAAGCATCCCGCTGTAAATTAATTTTGACAACTACGTGAATATACTGAACTGTGTTCAAGCAGAAATATGATGTTATAGTGATCAGTGCTCAAATTGCACATACATAGTTTGTTTGCGCAAGGGCAGATTTACTGATTTGGGGGTCCCAGGCAAAATATAGGACCTATACTGTACATTTTCACACATTTACCTGGATCAACTTGAGGTTCCTTTCCCTGTTGTGATGCGTGCTGCTGCACAACAGTGCCCTATAGTTATCCCCAAAGTTTCTACATTTTTCATGTACATGTTATTTCGCCCATATAGTGTGAGCAGTCAAGACGCAGCTTGATGATCAGACCATACAGTGTACCGTACACCGTACAGAGCACATAAATCCTGAGCTTTGGCTTGACTGTGTGAGATTTACTAACAAAAACGTTGCTGAAATTGCACATTGTATGCCCGGCTTACAGGGTCATAGAGATAGAGTGTGAAAGAAACATCAACATCACAAAAGCTGTAGCACTGAAAATCACAAATAACAATATATGGCCACAGCCATATCACCCTGTAGCCCAAGACTGGTCGCCCACTTAAGCTAAGCAGGGTTGAGCCTGGTCAGTACCTGGATGGGAGACCTCCTGGGAAAACTAAGTTGCTGTTGGAAGAGGTGTTAGTGAGGCCAGCAGGGGGCGCTCACCCTGTGGTCTGTGTGGGTCCTAACGCCCCAGTATAGTGATGGGGACACTATACTGTCAAAGAGCACCATCTTTCGGATGAGAAGTTAAACCGAGGTCCTGACTCTCTGTGGTCATTAAAAATCCCATGGCACTTCTTGTAAAGAGTAGGGGTGTAACCCCGGTGTCCTGGCCAAATTCCCTCCACTGGCCCTTGTCAATCATGGCCTCCTAATAATCCCCATTCACTGAATTGTCTCTATGACTCTCTCTCCTCTCCACCTGTAGCTGGTGTGTGGTGAGCGCACTGGCGCCGTTGTACTGTGGCTGCCATCGCATCATCCAGGTGGATGCTGCACACTGGTGGTGGTTGAGGAGAGACCCCCCTCATGATTGTAAAGCACTTTGGGTGTACAGCAATACACAATAAAGCACAATATAAATGCATCATTCATTCATTCATTCAATATGCTTAAAATCTTTGTAAATCAATGTTATTACACTTACTGTCAAATACTTTACTTTTTTTGATCAATTTAATGGATCCTTGCTGAATGAAAGTATTAAATTCTTAAACTCTTACTTACTCCAAATATTTGAATGCTTGTAGAAAAGCATGTTAAACGTGTGCACTCCCGAGTTTGCAACTTTGGTGAAACCAAAATTAAAAAGTTAAGATGAATGTGAAATTAATTTTTCTTTGGTCCACAGTTCTATTTGCTGTCTGACACATCCAAACAAATGAAATTAGGGTTGTGTGATATTAGATTGTGAATTATTTAAATTTCTCCACAATCTGCCTTTGATCACAGTATCGTGTTACAGTTATTTTCATAAAAATGTAGTCAAAACAGGCTTGGCTCGATACCGGCAAACAGGGTTAAATATGACAAGTCAAAGAGTACTCCAAAGACATGCGTGGGTCGATCAGCTGCCAACAAAATCCAAACAATGCAATACAAAGGGATAATCCAGAGATACAGGCAAATGGTCAGGGCAGCCAGAGATTAAACAGACTAGATAAACAGGCTAAGATTGAGACATGGGAAATCAGGCTAGAACAAGACCGGACTATGACAAGGCCTAGGAACTAAGATAAGGAAATGGCTTTGTAATGCCACGGTGGCTAAACAATACTCGGTCCTGACTGTATGTTTGTGTGTAAAAAAAGACTTTTAAAGAGACCCTGATGGGAAACAGGTATAATGGTAATCAGTTCCTAAGTGCAATGGATAGTGGGAAATGTAGTCCGGGATCAAATGTACCAGTGTGTGCAGTGGAAAAGACTTAGTGGTGAGTGGTGACCTCTGCTGGTGAGAACAAGGACCGAACTTGTGACAGATATAATGTAACATTGTTGTAGAACATTGTTGTGTAATGCCTAATCATACGCTTGTTCAGAAATAGTGACAAAAGCTTGACTATAAAAAAAATCTTGTTAAACGTAATTTAAATAAGCGAAAATTCAAATATACATTTTTTATGAGTCCAAATATTCGAATACAATAAGAGCCCAGCAAACAAAACAAAATATTTTTTGTTGCAATTAGGTAATATTGCAATACAACATTTTAAAAATGTTTGAGAAACCACAGCTTAAAAACAACATTAAAAAAAACAGTGTAACCTAAATTAAATGTTTTAGAAAAATTGTGAAAATACCAAATAGGGTTGTTTTCTTTAAGTAGTCAAAAAACTAACAAAAAAATGTAAATATCAAGTGTTTGCTACAAAAACAAAACCAGACCTTTTTTGCTCCGTTATAAAAAGTGAATTAGGTTTGGTTACAGACACAAACTTGATGTATAAGTTACACGAAAATGTATTTGATGCATTTGTTGTCATTCTGAGCTCGTAAGTCAGGTTAAATCTGTAATATTCACAGAGACAGAACAGCCTTTTTGAATATGTATAATAAGCTTGTTTGTGTATTGAAAATCTGCTCATTTTCTTTTTCATCTGTTCTTTAAAATTTCATTTTAAAGACAACCGAGTGATGCGCTGGAGAGGTAGAAGCGTAGAAACATGCTATTCACACAAACATTATTCATTCTAATGTGCTCATATTGGGACATACTCAGACCTCAGCATTAGTTCTCAGGCATTTGACTGCTCAGGCTGGTTTAAACATCCCTTCTGGCTGCAATGACTATTAAAATTTGTAACTTCTGGATAATGATTGATGTCATTTGTGTGCTTAACTCCATTCATGAGAGCGGCATATTTAATCTAAATGTGTGTAAATTGAAAACATTCTGTTTACTTCATTTCAGTCCAGGGCCATAACCACCATAGACACTAAGCACCACATGTCCACACCAATAATCAGATATGGACAAATTGTCCTCGCATTATCTGACATTCTTACTACAGAAATGAGTTACTGTGAGCAGCATTTACTGCAAACAGAGTCATTTTGAGACGTGAGTTTCTTGTATTAATGAATAGTGTCACACACCTCTGGATATTGTATATGTATATAATCATACAATTTTATAATTACACCACAATCTTCACATTCTGATAATCATATTAAACCTTATCACATTCTCACAACCATGTATTATTAGAGTTTATATAAAGTTAACGGCCATCTGGCATGTAATACCCTTTTCATATACTCGCCAATGCCATGGTAATTTTGGACCCTAGTTAAGATGCTATGGGTGTCCTACACACAGCTGCTAGATAGCTTGTGCAGTGCTGTCAGAAGCTGTCTTTGAAAATGCAGCAGCTTTGCAGTTTATTTGGTAATTGTTTCAGGTCATTTAGCCATTTCAATATTCATCTCAATACAATCCACATCTACAGACAGCTGTATAAATATGAAAAATTGCCTGCAAATGATGTTTTTGTCTCTTGTTCTGACATTCCATTGAGAGTAGATGGAACATTTGTTGACAAAATTCAATGGCCATATATTGTGGTAGCATTTTGTTAATTATTATATGGAAAACCATTTACCTCAGTATCTCCAGCTGACAGTTTGGACTCTTCAGTCCTTCAGAAAGCAGCTTCACTCCTGAATCCTGCAGGTCATTGTTACTCAGGTCCAGTTCTCTCAGGATGGAGTTTGATGATTGTAAAACTGATGACAAACTCTCACAAGAGTGAGCAGTGAGATTACAAATGGAAAATCTGAACGACAAAAACAGTAATTGCATACAGATTGCATACATACACCTTAGCAGTGTGATTTTTTTAGTAATTAGCTTGCCAAAAAAAAAAAAAAAGGAACCAAGTATTTCAAACTCAAACCTCAGTATCCCCAGCTGACAGTCTGGACTCTTCAGTCCATCAGAAAGCAGCTTCACTCCAGGATCCTGCAGGTTATTGTTACTCAGGTCCAGCTCTCTCAGGAAAGAGTTTGAGGATAAAGATAAACTTCCACAGGATTGATCAGTGAGATTACATCCACACAGCCTGTGAAAAGAAGAAAACAAAGACTCCTTGCACAATTTTCAAAAGGCTGCCAAGATTGCAAAGGCAAAATATTTATCTGAAATTATTGCCAAATACTCTTACTCTTCTAGAATTCTATTTTCAACTATTGACTAAGTTTTAAATCCCCCAATGCAGACATTTCCAGAGATTTCTTGTTTATAATGTGAAAACTTTCTTAAGTACTTCTTAGATAAAGTTAAAAATGCCCGGGCTCATTTATCTACAATTGGCCAATTCTATTCCAGATCCCATTTTATCTACTACTCAATGGAGTGAATTTGAATTAGTCTCTTTACATACATGTAAAAAAATCACTCTAAAATTAAAATCCACCTTTTCCCCTCATGATGCTTTGACCACGATTTGTAAAACAAATTTTTGATACAATCGGACCTGATTTAGTGAATATCATAAACAACTGCCTTTTGACAGGGATCGGTGACACAGAAGCTAGTTTAAAACAATCCGGAACAGTCCCTAAGAAGCCTACACCTGATCCTGAAGTTCATTCAAATTTTAGACCAATCTCCAATCTGCCTAAAATTTTAGAAAAAATTGTGTTTATTCAGCTGCAAAATTATTTGAATAGTAACAGTATTTCTGATGTTCATCAGTCTGGTTTTAAAACTCTTCACAGCACAGAGTCTGCCCTTTTGAAAGTTTTTAATGACATTTTAATGTCTACTGGTGCTGGTAATACTATGACCTTAGTGCTGTTAGATCTAAGCTCTGTGTTTGATTTTGTTGACCATGGTCTCTTGCTGTCTCGCTTGGAGCGCTACATTGGTGTTAGAGGCACTGTACTCAACTGGTTTCGGTTCTTTCTGTCCAACAGAAGATTCTCAGTAAATATAGGGAAGCATTCTTCTTCTGTAGTGCATGTTACATGTGGTGTCCCTCAGGGTTCAACTTTGGCACCATTACTGTTTTCACTGTACATGTGCCACGAATCAGGCCTATGTGGCTTCCTCCGATCACCTCCAGAGGGAACCGTCGCCAGAGTACTAATCATTTTGGATTCCATTTCCGACAACCCCGTACCTGCACACCTGATCCACACTGCCTGGACTATTTAAGCAGCTCACCAACACTCACTCACTGTGAAGTCTTGTTTTGCTACTGCTTACATTTCTGAGCATTTTCCCTGTTGATGGTTTGACTGCTTTACCTCGTTTGATTCTCTGCCGCCTACCCTTGTGACTCTGCCTGCTTGGATTACTCTCTGTCTGCTCTGCTTGCTGCCTGCCCTGAACATCTGCCTGTGTACTGATTACGACTTGGAAATTACTGATGCTGCCTGTTGATCTCTGCCTGTTGTACCTTGAGTATTGTATAATAAAGCTGCACATGGATACCAATTCTGCTGACTCCTCGTTACAATATGTTACTCATTCTATATTTAGGAGATATGGGGCCAGATTTACTAACAGCTTATGCCAGCGCAAACCGTCTTTTGGAGTTACTGTCAGGATTTACTAAAGACGCACAGTGAAGAATTAGCACTGAAAAGGTGTGGACAGTAATTTTTGCACATGACCTTATTGAATATGCATTTGTAGGAGTTTCCCTTTCAGATGCAAAATTTATGGGAGGAGAATATTAAAATGAATCATGAAACACAATTTACTAATGTTTGCGCTCATCAAATTACTGGTATTTGCACCGTTATTTAAGGCTCCAAAAAAGCATGTCTTAAAGCAGACGCTAATTTGTGCTGCTCTTGGTAGATTATGTTGGTCATTATGGAAATTATCTGGCTGCATCTGTGTTACTTAATTTGCGCATTGTCAGTAAATCACCCGCAGAAATTTCCACTCCCATTAGCGCTTTTTTGGGAATTGCGCCCTCACGCTAATTTACCCTGTTGTGTGTCGTATCATTGTTATACTGATGATATTCAGCTTTACATGCCATTTAGGCGCAACGACGGGTCTGCCATAAATCAATTAATAGCCTGTCTCCAAGAATTGAAAACATGGCTAACCAATAATTTTTTGCACCTTAATGATGACAAAACACAAATTGTTCTGTTTGGGCCTATCTGAATGCTGTTGACTTGGGCTCTCTCACTCCATATCGCTCTTTTGATGTCAAGGATCTGGGTTTTATTCTGGATAGTGGCCTAAAGCTGAACAAACAAATATATTCTGTTGTCAGTTCTAGTTTTTATCACCTTCGAAGATTATCCAAAGTTAAACCCTTCCTAAGTAGAAAGTGTTTTGAGATTGTAATTCATTCTTTTATGTCATCATGGCTTGATTATTGCAATTCGCTGTATCATGGGCGGCCCGTCTCATCTATTCATAGACTTCAACTGGTCCAAAATGTAGCTGCCCGTTTGCTCACGGGCAGTCACAAACGGGACCACATCAGGCCTTTTTTACGTTCTCAACACTGGCTACCAATTCATTATCGCATTGAATTAAAAATGTTGATGTTTGTATACAAAGCGTTAAACAATCTTGCTCCTCAATACCTTTCAGAGTTGATTACTGAACAAAATCCTGTCAGATTACTCAGATCACAGACCAGTCATGTTCTATGGGTACCCAGATCTAGACTGCAATGCAGGAGTGATAGAGCTTTTGCAGTAGCTGGACCCAAATTATGGAATAAATTACAATTATCTATCAGAACAGCGACTATAGTGTCGGAGTTTAAAAGTCTTTCAAAAAACTATTTGCATTCCTGTGCTTTCAATGTCTGTTTTAATTTGGGTGATGGACTTACGCAATTTTGTACAGCACTTTGGTCAACCAGGGTTGTTTTAAATTAAACAAACAAAAAAAACTAATTAGACTATAGTTAACATTTTATGAGTATACAATAACAAGCACTTAAATCATTTCAAAACTGTAGTTAATACATTAATAGACTCTTTACAAATAGTGAGTTCATCATTGCTTGTTACTGTAACTAACAAAGTGTTATTGTTTAATTAGCTCATATGTAAAGAGTTAACATATTAACAATAAATTGTTCTCACTTTAGATTAGGGGGCATGGAAAATCTGAAAATGTCATAAATTATGTGTTTTTATCCAACCTTTATTGGACATTAATTTGATTCATATTCAGTGTTCCTTAAAATGCTTACAATACATTAAGCACACATACACACGCTGGGTTTCCATGTTTTATAGGAACTTTCCATGGAAATAGTGTTTTTTTCTTATACTGTACAAAGTGCTTATGTTTAACTCTTGGAATATGCTTAATGTATTTGTGAACATTTTAAGAAACTCTTAAAACTAATGCAGTTAATGACCAGTAAAGGTTGGTTTAAAGCACTTGATTAATTACATTTTTCAATATATTGTGACCTAATTTAAAGTGAGAACTATTTACAGTTAAGTTGTTAACAAAGCATTATATAAATCTATACACTATATTTTTATAAATAAAAAAATTAAACATATGTTAATGACAGTGACAACGAATGAAGACAATGAATTACAGGGACGCGGGAAGTAGGGGTGCTGAGGGGGCTGCAGCACCCCCTGTTTTCACATGGTTGCAAATGCAACGCCAAGTTTGTTCATTTAAATTTATTCAGTTTTAGCATTTAATAATTTATTTGTAATGATCTCTGAAATGTAAATTGTAAGTGGGCTATAATAAACCCATGTTTATCTTTATAACCATGATTAATTTTACTAGTGATGTTTTCTAAATGGGATGATTAGCCTAATCCTCATGAACACGTGACGCTAGCGCGTGGTATCAGACATGAACTATACAGAAAGCAAACAAGATTAACTTTAATACACGGCGATAATGGCGCAAAAGCGATTTTCAGATTTTTTTTAAATGCCCATCCCAGCAAAAACATTCCAAAATCGGCATCCAACACCAACCCCAGCACGAGCACCCCCCTTAAATTAACATGAAACAGTTAATTGAAACAAAATGCTCAGAGAAGATGCTTAACCCTTTAACTTTCACCCCTAAAAGAAGTAAATGAAAAAATATTTTTCCTTTAAATTCTTATTATTGGACATAAAAAAATTACCTCAAACTGTTTTTCAAATGTTATGTTTTTATCGAAACAATATAAAACTCTACTGTACGGTTAAGATGTCTGTTTATGGTAAATCTTGTTTTATATGTGCAGTACTGCTTCATTGGCTTTTCTGGATAATAAACATACCTAATAAACAAACATACCATTGTTAATAGGTCTTAGATATCATCCTTGATTATCAGGGCCAATATGAAATTTAATTTAAAAATAAATATATTTTATACTAGTAAAGTGTGGTCAGTATACGTAATATCCAGTGATTTTATAATATCTTGGACAATGTCATATCCATTTTCAGTGATTTTCATTCATATAATGTTCAGCTATTAATAAATTCAGCTATAATTAAATTCAGCTATTTTCAGTAAATTCAGTTAATTCACCAGTTTAAAAAAATTAGACAAGAGGACCAGTTTACAACAGGAATATTGCAAGCTTTGTAAAATATCTTATCCCATTTATTGTCCATTAATTATTTTTTGATATACTGAATATACTTGATATACTTGACCTAAATCATACCCTTATACACATGTACAGTGGGTATAGAAAAGCATCAACCCCCTTTAAAATAATCACATTTTGTTGCTTTGCAGCCTGGAATGAAGACGGACACCGTTTTTGTTTTATCGATCTGTATTTACTCAGTGCAACTTATAACATCCAAGTGA